GGGCAAAATGCCATTTTTGGGAAAGAAATTGCATTCCCCCCCCAGCCCCCAGGAGCACTCTGCAGGCCTCCCAAACCTTTTGTGCGCCGCATTTTTGTGAAAAATGGGCCCAATTTTGCAAAAAAAAAAGGGGGGGGGCATTTTTCACCTTCCAAACCCCCCCATGCATCGTGTTTTTGCTCTCCCCATCCCCCAGGACCACTCTGCAGGCCTCCCAAGCCCTATGCTCACCCCGTTTTTGCAAAAAACAGGCTTCCCAAACCCCCCATGCATCACGTTTTTGCCCTCCCCAGCCCCCAGGAGCACTCTGCAGACCTCCCAAACCCTCTGTGCATCCCGTTTTTTCCTAAAACGGGCCTGTTTTTGGCAAAAATGAGACATGTGGGGCGGGGTTTCGGGAGGCCAAAAATGGCTGTATTCGGTGTATAAGACATACCAACATTTCCACCCTCTTTTAGGGGGGGGAAAGTGCGTCTTAGACTCCGAAAAGTACGGTATCTGGATCAAACTCTTCATATTTAGCTGCACTAATCAAACATCTACCATATTTTTCGGAGTATAAGACGCACCTTCCCCCCCCCAAAAGAGGCTGAAAATTTGGGTCTGCCTTATACTCCAAATGTAGGTTTTTTTAAGCTTTTTTTCAGCCCTAACGAGGCGCTAGCAAGTGAAGTGATCTCCATGCTTTGCTCCAACTCTCAGCTCTTCTTTAGAAGCTTTTTAGCCCTAATTAGGCGCTAGCCGAGTGAAGCGATCTCCCGTGCTTTGCTTGCTTTTCTCATTGCTGCTTCCTCTCAGCTGTGCCTTAGAAACTGTTTTTTTATCCCCAAGCAGGAGTTAAAAAACCAGCAAACTAATGTGCTGAAGCTGACCAGACTAAGGACACTAGCCAGATAAAATACCTGGTAGGCAGATTTTTTTCCTCTATTTTCCTCCCCAAAAACTGTGTCTTATACTCCGAAAAATATGGTAGGTGTGATAATCCACATGATAGGAATGAAAAACATTCCTTTAGGGAATTTTTCAAATGGGAAGAATTGTCATAAAATGGTTACTATTTCAAGAATTCTATTTTAAAAAAGCTTAACAATATATTTTAAAACAAGATATTATATCACTTCTTCCATGAAAAGAAAAGGAAACAAAATATATGAAAAAGGTTCTTGCATTTGTCAGTTATTTACAAGAATAATTTTATATTATCTAGTATGGCTTTAAAATAAATTAAATATATTGATTTTTATTTGCGGTAATAATTCAGATTTGTGCTTATTTGCAATCACAGTCAAATTATAAGAGAGCCCTGTCTTGCCCATATAATTAATTAAGCTCCATTCTAAATTCTAATTTCTGAAATAATTTGAATTCTAACTTCTTATAAGAAATTAATTTATGAATAGAAAACATGAAAAAACTTATCAGAAAAATTTAATCAAAGGCAAAAACCATAATGTTTTCAAACTTGCCAAAAGAACATAATTAGCCATTTCATTTTATAACAAGAATGGAATGCAAATATTATTGCCAGGTCCAGTGGGTTCAATCTGCACTAATGTGAAAACATCTACTAGCATAAAATATACATATATTACATCAACTATGTGGCAATTGCAGAGATAGAAGCTGGGAATGTAAACAAGATAAGATTAATTTTATGCATAAACAGTAGAAATAACTGGGACCAGCTATAGAGCTACATTAATAATTGCATACCTTTTTATGATATGACAGTCTTACTTCAAAATGAAGATAAAGTGATTCAATACATAAATGAGAAAATACCAGTTATTATCATTGAAAAAGCATACTTAACTGAGAGAGTTGCAGAAATGAATGTAATGTTAGTAATCAGTCTTCAACCTAATATTTTCTGCCATTTAGTTAACTATTCAAGGGGCAGCTACATTTTACATACAGTCTTACTTGATAGAATACTTGCTTTTTTGCTTTTCACATTGATATGCTTTAAAAAATTTAGTTTTGACATATAGGTAGATGTATTTATAAAACATAAAATTAAAAAATATATTTAAAACAATGTTATACATTAATGCTATAAAATACACCCAATTTTAATCTTTATACAATTACTAATTTAATGTAATACAACCAAAGACTTTTCTGAAGTATTTCAATAGCTGAAGTTAAGACATTTTGTTCCTCAGTAGAAATAATAGCATAAAGACCTACTTTTTCATGCTAACAGAGAGATACACAAACTCACTGCTTAAAGAGGACAAGAACTTTTTTCCCATTCAATTTACTCTTTTAAATGCATTACACTTGAAACATTTTTGGAAAAAACTTTATGAACCAAGTCCAGTTCTCAAGGTCTAACAATAACATCTAATTAGTGAGCTGTCACTTGAGCTGGAACCAAAAAGTTAGTGAAATACAGAGTTCCACATTAATTCAATATCATGCAGGCTATAACATAAGTAGCAAAAAGTCAATTCTTACCATATGAAATAAAATCAAAAAATACTGTTAATATAAGAAAATTTTATAGTTTTAAAATCTTCATTTGCTAACCTTACTCACTGAAGAAAATTCCCATACTTGCTCTTTGGTTTTGTTACAATTTATTGTGCACAAAGCTTTAACAGGTTCAAAGGCAGCATAAGAAATTTCCTAATTTTCATACTCCTACTCAAAAGTATTATGAATTGAAGATAAACCCAAGTGCTCTCAAAATTCTTGCTACACTTGTTCAATATGGCATTGTAACTTTCGCTATAGCTAAGAATCTATCCAAAATGCTACATCAGAACATCAATGCTCATAATGATTATCTCGCATTACATTCTATGCAGTTGATAATACTGGAAGTAATTCACATGTCATTTTCAGCCACCATAAAGCCAGTCACAATTGTGCAATTCTATATATTCCTTCTACTATAGTTTTAGCTTGTTGTAAAAGGATTACAACTGCCAACAAAAAATACAAATCTAAAATCCAAAATTGCCAAATATACAGGCAGCAAGTCTTAAGAAGACTCCATATGGTCTATGTTAATATAAACCCTGTTTCATTAACCATTTAGAAATATTTTAAAAATAATGAACAAGGGTGATTTGGAATGTTTTTGTATTGTTTCAAGTTCTTGAGCAAAGATGGTTATTATAAAGTAAGAAAAACATTTATAATATAGGCTGGTAACTGATTGGAGAATTGCAGATTCAGATAGCATCGTTAAAATAAATTAGAAAAGTTATAAAATGAACATTCAAAATGGAGGATTGGCTTCAAATAGCAACAAAAAATTAAATGTAAACAAATAATGCACAGTGGGTCAGCACCCCAAAAAATTAATAACACATATACAGGTAGTCCTTGATGTATAACAGCCGAGACTGGCATTTTGATTGTAAGTTATTGTGGTCATAAGTTGATGCACCTATTGACTTGACCCAATTTTTGGACCATTTTTATGGTTGTTAAGCAAACCAAATGGTTGTAAATCTAAATCATGTGATCATTAAGCAAATCCATTCTCTCAAATGGGCATTTTGGGGAAGTGCAGCTTGTTGCTCTTTTCTTCAAGGACTCACTCCTGCTCCACTGTAGTTTTCCTACCATCCAGGCCATTCAAGGCCAAAGGCAGACATGCTGTTACTGGGGCGGGGGGTTAGGGTTAGCAGTGATAGCTGGACTTTTGGAAAAAGCAACCCAACTGTTTCTTTGCAGGGAACTGTGACCCGTTTGCAAACTTATTTCAGCAAATTCCAGTCACTCCTAAGTAGTCACATGCATGAGTCCTTAGAGTGTTTGGATCTCTGCAGGGAAGATTTTCAGTGCCACAGGGGAGAGGCAAAGGTAAGGTAAGGAGTGTGGGGTGTCTCGGGAAGATGGGCAAGGCCTGGACCAGGCAGTGAATGAATGAATGTGTCTTTCTGTTCTGGCACTGAAAATCCTGCTTGCAGGGAGTGGGGTGTATCAGGAGAGTGGGGCAAGGCCCCAAGGGCCTGGTACAGATTTCCCTGAGGCACCCCACGCTCCTTACCTGGGACTCCCATCTGCTTAACAACCTGTGAAATCACTTAATGACTACATTAAGAAATGCTGGTATTGTAGTTATTGACCAAAGCAATCATGTGATGCTTTGTTTAACAACTGCTTCATTTAATGACCAAAATTCTGGTCTCAGCTGTGATCAAGGATTACCTGTATATTTTTTTAAGATACTATGGTCTAATGTAGATTATGTATAAGCATTTTATTTTCAAAGAAAACGGGCTATTTAATTCTTTAAAAAGCAAATATTATTACTTTTCTAATGTCACTCTATCTGTGCACACATTCTCTTTGTAAAAAGACACTTTTCTATGTCAACTACCTACCATGCAGTCTACCATATAAATCTCAAAGTTATCCAGGTATATTTTCAAAAAACTCCTTATATACAATCAATAAATCTTTTCACAGCTGGAAAGATCTAGACAGAAATTGATCTATGATGTTGTAGTTAGACATGCAAAGCTTCCACAAACATGGAGACAGAAATTGGAAAAGATAATGTGGAAATATTTTTTCTCTGTCTCATATTATTCAAAAGTATATGGCATAGCACTACAACAAAGAAACACAATTAAATGTTTATCATTCACCCTACAACTATCAATAGATCAATCTTCCAGATATAAAATACTCACTGTATCAGACAAATCTTGTCATAGTTGAACTGATTTTTAACTTTGGTTCAGTACTGAGAAACCAAATGTTAGCACCACTGAGAATGTTAGTAAGTGCATTCAAGCAACATAGTGATTACTTAGAAGTAATATAGGGAATTATAAGTTTCCAACAACTTTCATATTAATGGTAACTCTATACATAACAGCAACATATTATTCAGAGATTCAATAGTATTTACTACTAATCTGATCAAAGCAAGTTAATGTAGGAATAAAAGTAGTCCAACAACAGATGTCACCACTGAATAACTCATACATTCATAAACATACCCTTCCTCAAATATATCACAATATTACACTTACCTGAAGAACAAAAGTTAGATTCCCTCTGCCTCCATACAATATGATATCTAAGTAGACAAAATATGTAATGGAAGGATTAGCACAAAGAAGACCTGCTTCAATAAAATCATGAAAACTTGAAATATCTGAATAATTCTAACACTGATGCTCAGTGAACATATTGATTTAATAAAATGCAATTTATCTCATTCCCTTCCCATCAGCTGAATAAAACATTGATGAGTAGATCGTATATTTGTTAGCTCAGTTCTTTTACAATACTAATAATTCTATAAAGATTAAAATTCAAGGTTAAAGATATTAGTAACCTATTGTTCATTAATCACAGCTCCTGACATTGCATTAAAAATGAATTACCTTCTTTGCCATTACAGTATTTCAAAATGCTTATTTATTGGCCATGTTAGTTTTATAAAGCTGCTTATCATAAAGAGATCTATGACACTACTGTATACTAGCCAAATACAGTTGATTCAGTTTGGTAATAATTCTCTAAGTTTCAAACATAACATATTCCTCATGTTTGATTGAAGATGCTAAAAACAGGACCTAATTGAGGACTAAACTAGGACCTAAAAAATATGCCCGTGCTATTATTGAATTATAGTAATCTCACAATCATTTCAACTACTTGAAAAGTGCACTGTACCCATCAGGACCAGAAGGTACTAAGAATGTAACAGTTTGGTGTGCATCCTCTTGGAAGTTAGTAATCTTCATATTAGGCAAACACTATAGGTCTCCAAAAAGTTGTTTTATCTAGGGTCTAGAGTGTTTGAAATGGCCCTGACCCAGATAAAAATTGCTACTTTATTAAACTTATATATGGACTGAAAGGGGAAGAGGGAACACAACTCTCAAGCTGAGAATAGCAATAGCACTTAGACTTATATACTGCTTCACAGTGCTTTATAGCCCTCTCTAAGCAGTTTACAAAGTCAGCATATTGCCCCCCAACAATCTGGGTCCTCATAATAGTAAGAATAAAGTTTTAAGAGTCAAGTGACTGTTACTGAGAGTAAAAAATCCTCACTTCAGTAAATAATTGAGGTATTACTGACTACAGCAAATCAAGACAAAACAAGTGCCCACATTAAGCCTATTCTACAGTTCAAAATGTACCTGACAAGATTTTTTGACAAGATTCCTAAACAAGCGTTTCTTTGTGTACACCTGTAATTCACCTGTTAGTTACCCTCAACAGTCCGCAACTCACCCCATACTACCCAACTTACTACGAGCCGTTCTTCCTAAAAATCCATAGCCAGCTTCTCCCATATAAGAAAACCTTAAGAATCCTGGAAGGGAACAAAAGCCTATTATCCGATCCAGCATCCTGTTTTCCCTTCGAGGGCTAAGTTAAACGCTTAGGGGAAGTCACCCAAACAGGAAACGAGCTTCTTACGAGGCGGCACCGGACCCCAACCCTCCGTAATTTTTTTAAATTTTTTTTTTAAATTTTTAAAGAAAAGCTTAAGCCAACAGGCACGTCGTATTTACCAAGAACGTCAAGCCCCGTCTCCGAATCGCGCAGAATTGCCATGCTTAGATTTTTCAGAATCCAGCCAGACAATGGGGCGATAATGTCTGCGATCCCGTAAAAAGTGGGAGGATCTGAAAAGGCGCAACGCCCCTTAAAAGGCAGGATCGCTTTGGTTGGCAAGTAAATACCTCAGGACTGCCAGAGCCAAGGCTAAGAGACGACCAAAAAAAAAAAGGGGGGGGGGAGGAAAGGAAAGGCAGGCGTGTTCTTCGGAGCCGCCGTGACCGGGGAGAAGGCACATGTCCGCCTAGAGACGGACGCCGCCGACAGCACACACTCACCTGCCCACTTCGTCGCACTCCACACCCAACGGCGCCGCAGCCTCCGCAGCTCCCCGAACTCTGCCGCCGCCTCCGTCGCGGCCGGTGCTCGGGGGACTCGGCCCCACCAAGGAACCAGGAGATGACCGCCCACACATCCGGGGCGCCAGGCAGGCCCTACGGGACACTGCTTACAAGCGGTGGGGACAGCGGGCAAAAGGGGTAATAGTATCCCTTGTCCCGCCACCTTGACCCCGCATTTCCGAAGAGTACAGTGAGCGAGAAATCCTCCCCGCTCGGCACGATTCTTGCTCCAATCGGTATCAGACTTTCGCCGGCCTTTGCCTTCCCCGTAGTCCTACCTGCGGCCGTCACCGCCCCCTTCCTTCCCTCACTGCAACTCCCTCAGCAGCTCTCCGCCGCCATCTTGCTTAGGGAGCCTACTTCGGGCGCATGCGCGATACTTGGAAATCCCAGCTCCGAAAAAGCTTTTGGCTTGCTTCTGTGGGTAGGGTTAACCGGAATGAGCAACAAAGAGGCGAGTGCGCCTGCGCTGGCTCACACCTGCCGTGTGACAGAAAAGAAACCTACTAAGGGGGAGGGCGGAGCTTCGGTTTAATCGTGGCTCGTCTTGAAGCTGCAGAAAAGGAGGTGTGGAGCGGTGTTTGAGGACAGCACGCCGGACTGCCCTTTTAGGTTTACGAGGTTGAAAGTTTGAGAAAGTATGTAAGAACAAGGTTGAAATGAGTTTGGGTTCTTACAATGGTAAAGCAGTTGGTCTGTGATGCAAATAACTAATTCTACAGAATGTCCCAAAGGTGCTTTTTCAAGAGGCAACTGGACTTTCTGGTTTTTCTCTGAATACGTTTCACTTCTCATCCAAGAAGCTTCTTCAGTTCTTTCTACAAAAAAGAATCTTGAAGGGTCTGGGAACATCCGGAACATTCTAGATATGTTGGGTTCTAATTCCCATTATCCAAATGAAGAATCTAAACTTCCTATTATCTTCTCCAACTGTTTAGTATTTTGCCTAAAAATGTATGTGTTGTTTTCTTACAGGTATGGCATAGTAAATAAAATTAAAAATAGAAGGATGTGCCCTATATCATGACCTGATTCATACAGTGTACTGAATTGTGGTTTGCTGAATAAGTCAGAATAATTGGATTGTGTTTTGTACAGAACCATAAATCAAACTACAATGCTACGTTTATATAGCAAGGCAAAATTGAACAAATTTCACTATGGTGTAGTACAGTACAATGTACAAACCTGGTTGTTTGATATATTCGAAGAGTCTAAGCAAAAGAAAAAACTAAATATGTCACCCTCCTCTTTTTATTTATCTTTGTGTACCCTAGCTTGATGATACACAATCATTTTGTTCAGGAAGAAAACCTATTTTTAACTGAAATATCTAGAAATTTGGGCAATATGTGGAAGTGGTTAAGTTCAGTAATTTTGAAAGATAACACTGAAGCAATTTTGAAGTTGCTAAAAGTCATTGCATAATGACAGACAACTTGTACTTAACTGATCTATGTCTTCAATTTAGAGTAGTCCTCACCACAGCTATGCTGTGATGGGGTTGGGGTTGATGGATAAGTGAAGGTTGTAGATGACTGCAAACAGACGAATGTGCACACCTCTGAAATGCAAATCCAAATCCCAACTATACATTGTAAGGAGATATGCATTTTACACACTGAATGATTGAGCTGACTTCCTATTCTGTGCCTTGCTGTTTAAGTGCCCCCTAGCCAGAATGTTACATTTGCAGAAACATAAATATAACAACTATGCAACCGTCCCCGAACGACAAATGCATTCGTCCTCTGATATGCGCTACCGGAGAACTCTGCTCAACCCTTAGAAAGTTTGAATGGAATTATTGCAGGATATATTGTACAGCTATAACAAAATGACAGAGTTGGAAGGGACCTTGGAGGTCTAATAGTCCAACCCGTTGCTCAGGCAGAAAACCCTACACCATTTCAGACAAATGGTTGTCCAATGTCTTCTTAAAAGCTTCCAGTGTTGGAGCATTCACAACTTCTGGAGGCAATTTGTTCCACTGATTACCGTAATTGTTCTGTCAGAAAATTTCTCCTTATTTCTAGGTTGTTTTTCTCCTAGAATATATATATTCTGGTTTTCTGCCCTTCATTACAGCTGCAATCCCCTTTAAATTAACTTGGCAATAAAGTTTTTTATGCTTTACCTACATTTATGTCTAAATCAACATGCATACCCTGTTTTCCCAAAAATAAGACATTCCCTGATAATAAGCCCAATTGGGCTTTTGAGTGCATGCGCTAAAATAAGCCTCCCCCCAAAATAAGCCCTTCCCAAAAATATTTAAAAGCAAAAGGAGCCCCAGTCTTGTTCCATGCACCCCAAAATAATAAGATTTCCTCAAAAATAAGGCCAAGCACTTGTTTTGGGGTTCAAAAAAAATATAAGACAGGATCTTATTTTCGGGAAAACACGGTAGAATTATTTGTAAATATTCTTATATCTTCTAACAGCAAGTCTTTGTAATCTAAGAATGACACACAGATCACTTTTACAATATAAAATAGTCATACACCATCAATAATTTCTAACTGAGTCACAGACACTTATGTTTTAATAATAACTGGCAGGCTAATTGCCCTGCCTAATTTTTATGAGAGAGCTTTCTTTGTAATGCCAATAGTAGCTGTGGCATTATAACAAAGACTTTCTTTTAAAATTTCCAAATATAGATTAAGTCCTCCCCCAAACTTAGTTAGATTTGTCTCATTTAGTGTAATAAAGAAGTTACTGTTCTTGGTTCATAGCTAAGATTCTTTTCACTGAGTAATAGTATAAAAAGTATTGCCTTTATCAAAATAAGAGTGCATTCAAAATCTGTTTAATCTATATTTGAATATTTGCCAGTGGAAAAGCAAGCCAGAAGTGTATTTTTTTTCTGAAAAAATTAACTATGTCTATACAAGGTAAAAAGAAACCCAATTAATATGGAAAATAAAATATATTTAACAAATTACAAAAAGATACTGTAAAGAAGTAATAATTTAAGATGTAAATTTTATCATTGGGAGTTGACAAGCATCTTAGTTTGTTAACTTACGTATTTTTACTGTTGAACTTCTTCTGACTATGATTTTATGACAAGCTGTTTGTCTGCACATGAGTTTTAAATTTGAATCATGCTATTTCTTTTATGATGTGTTTATGGTTCTTTGACTCTAGTCCCATATAACTTAAAATCCCCCACCTGCTTCCTTCGAGATAGGTTTGACTTCAATTCTCATAAATCTTTAATAATTCTGATTGAGGATTATAGGAACTAACATATCTGTAGGGTACTAATTTAGATAAGGTTAATAATGCATTTGCATATTCTTAAATGTTTGTTAATTTTCTAAAAGATACATGGAATGAAAATTAGTGAAATAAAATTATGGAAAAAATATCAGGAAAGGATCCTTCTCAACTTCCAGTGTGCTTTACTGTATTTAGGAAGACATTTTGCTATTTCTAAAAAACTCAATAAGATCTCTTTAAATTCCTGTTTAGGGAGTTTGCTTTTTTTTTAAATACAAGTTCACATTCAATGGATGTTATATGCAGTTTAACTTGTAGAATAAAGCCATCACATATATACCGTTCTTGTGCTTCCAACAATCGTCCATCATTATAGCATGAAATTTCTGCTATGACTTCTAGCTCTCTGTATCTCTTTAGCATTGGGAACTTTATTTTTGCCATGTGGAATAAATAGCTTTCAATATTAGCACATAAAAATATACTGCTATGCTTTTCTCCAAATATTTTACATATAGTGGTACCTTGGTACTCAACATTAATTGGTTTGGGAAGGCCCATAAGAAATAACATAATGAGTCACAAGGCACCCGACACCAAAATTCTAGTTGTGCGTTGAGTATCAAACAAATGAGTACTGGGAGAAAATTTAGAAATGAGTATGAGGACAAGTTAGAAATACATGATATTGCTAGTTATGCCACTTTAAAAAAAAAGGCATTACATTATTGGACAGGAAAGTGTTGATCGTTTATGCCTCAATACTTAATTCTTTTAAAAAAAGAAAAAGAAAAAGCTCCCATGTGCCAATATGCTTTTAAGATATCTCCATTGAAAAACAATGGGCTTTGGGAGAGAGAGCAAAGCTTTCCTAATATCATTACAGGCTGCATTGGGTAAATCCACAGATCCAACTCAGTGGCCCATGAGATTTCACATCAAGAGTGAATTCGTGGTGGCACAGTGGTTAGAGTGTAGTACTGCAGGCTACTTCTGCTGCCTGCTGGCTGCCTGTAATTTGGCAGTTCAAATCTCACCAGGCTCAAGGTTGACTAGGCCTTCCATCCTTCCGAGTTGGATAAAATGAGGACCCAAATTGTTGGAGACAATATGCTGACTCTATAAAACCACTTAGAGAGGCTGTAAAGCACTGTGAAACAGTATATAAGTCTAAGTGCTATTGCTAAGAGCAGCAAGATTCCTGCTTCTGCAGGAGCATTCACTATTACAGAACTTGTTTATTACATAATCTTACAGCTGTAGCATGGCTATTTAAATTGCTTTCTTGCAGTTAAGATATAAGCCACATATATCCAGCAAATTTCTCTTCAGACCTATTATTTGTGTCTGCTGTGGGGTTTAAATTATTTTCAATGGAAATTTGGCTGTTTTCTTCCCGCCTTTGGAAAGGGAGACATCTACTTAGTATTGTTGTGGTCCGCCAGCTGCCAATGGAGACCGGATGATGAGAAGGTTGGGGAGGAACATGGACCAGTTCTGGATGAAAAACAGCTGGGGCCTGTTCCAGATGCACGTATGCGCAGAGCAGTTAGGAGAGGTGAACAACGGAGGACAAGGAGTCGACTCGGGAAGCAAAGCACACATGGATGCTGAATGGCCCCTCCCTGGCTGGGGAATAAATAGAAGGAAAGGGGAGTGGTTGTCGTAGGAGACAACAGTTCCTATTTCTGGAGATTTTGCTCATTGTGTTTCATGCATCAAAGACTGCTTGCCAGAACTTAATTTACAGCCTTTCAACTGGGAGCTCACCCCTTGCAATTATCACAAGGAACTGATAAGGTCTGTTGCTGCGGTTAACTCCTTGCAGGATTCTTGCCTGGACTTTTCGGTGGATGAATGCAATTAATTCCCAAGAGGTAAATAAAGAGAGATTTTTTGTGACAAGGGGTGTGTTTCTTGCTTCTGCTAAAGGCTGAGTCAGAACAAGTATTTATCTAAAAGTTCAGGCTAGCCTATGAATAATTGGTTCTTGCTTCATGAGATTCAATGTTTATTTTGATTCAAAACTGACATGTTGAAGCCAGTGAGGTAGTTTGCAAAAGGAACCGTCAAATTTGATGAGCAGTGTATATATTAGCTGCTATTTCCAGCTACAATTCTGTTTGTGTGGGTAACCCGTTCCTTGAATTAAATAGTCTGAT